GTCACCAATTATGATTTTTTAGAACCTAAATCTTAAAATTCTAAACCCTAATTTTTTTTTGAATCCTAAAACCCACAAAACTAAACCCTAATAGTGGCATTTAGATATTGCTCACAATATTCAATAAAACCCTAAAATAAAATAAAACTCTTAATTTTATTGGATATTGTGAGCAATAGTATTCTACATCTATTTTATAATTAGTTAAATTATATTTATTTTATATGTTAAATGAAAAAATAAAAAATAATATTGAATTAGCTTAATATTATTTTTGGTGTACATAACTAGGGGAGTGACATAGGTGTAATTGAATTTAGGTGAATAACACAGAGGGAAAATATTTGGACGAAAGTGTCCTTATTTAATTTAGTAAGGAGTGACAAAAAAACAAAAAAAAATTATTAAGGAAAATTGCAGGAAAAAAAATTCCCTAAATTTTTTTGTCGTTAAATATATTCGTACTTATATGTGGTAGTAGTCGACAGATTTCGAAATCAAAGAAAGGATTGTATAGTTAACTATATTTTTATTTATTTATTGTTGTAGTTGACTACTGACTTAATAATATAGTGAATTTTATAATCTTTACAATAATTAATTCAATTGTAATAATATAGTTAAATATATAATCATTTTTTTTAGAAAAAACTATATAATCTTTACAACTATATATTTAGTCTATGTTTATCAAGATAATTAACTAAATAACATTTATAATTAAACATAGATGATTAGTTATATACGAATAGTTAGCTATTCAATCATATATAACTGACTACAAAGTATAACTATATACTATCGAACTGGATCAATGCAATGTTCTACATAGTGAACTATTTTGATCATATATAGCTAACTATTCGTAGATAACAAGTGAAAGATAACTCCGCATATTTGCCGTTGAAGAAAAAGTTTCAGCCATGTGTCCTGCAAAACTGTGTAGATGAGGCATTGACTTCTGAATTATCTAACAAAGCAAGCACTCCAGGGGACGCACCACAGGTCTTGGACGTAATCTTTAATGCACGTGAAGTTTATGAACTATGTCACTTTTTTATTTGTAGTTGACTATTTTTTAACTATGTAAAATGGTAGTCAGCTATATTATACTAAGTACTCCTTCCGTTTTAAAATATATTTGTTTTAGAAGTTTTTTTTATGTTTCAAAATATAAGTTGTTTTGATATTGTGTGACCAATAGTATTTTTCAGTCGCTTTTTTCATTGGTTAAATTATTTTTATTATATATATAAAATGATACTTTTAGAAGAAAAGTAGTTTCTTAATATTCGCATTTTTAGCCAAAACAACTAACATTTTAAAACGGAGGGAGTAGTTGACTATGTTTCACCTATAGAATCATGATGTGGAGATTTAGGGGTGTTAAACGAGTAATTAGCTCATGAACTAGTTCAGCTCAGCTCAGATTTTGACGAGCGCGAACTATATTTTTTAGGCTCATTTAATAAACAAGTTAAGTGATCGAGGTTAAATGAGTTGACGAGTTATGTGAGCCAGCTCAGATGATTCGTGAACTAGCTCACGAACGAATTTTTTTTAACGATTTAAAATAATATATTGATATGTTGTAAATATACTTTAGATTTACCAAATAAAATATATATTTTTGTTCCATTTTAACTAAAGTAAAAATAAAAATAATTCATCAAACAAATATCGAATCGTCTTCTTCTTAAACATGTCCGGTCTCTACTATACACTCAATCTTAGTTATTTGGTTTTACAACCAACAAAAATAGTAATATATTTTTATTCATTTTTTAATTATCTGCATTAATTATCATTGTCTTAGCGTGAGTGGTATTGGATTAATTTTGATTTAACATTTGATAACAATATTATTTATATTTTTTCACAAATCAAAACGAACAAAAATTATGATGGAATTTACAGTTAGTTATGTTATTTTTTTTGTTTTTCACGTTGAGATAGAATTTTTCATTTATTGAGTATTGACTTTCTATTTCAAGTATTATGAATAGATAGGTCAAAACAATACTGATAAATCCGCAATAGATTGCATCAAAATCAGAAAAGAAAAAAAGGTCAAAAAGAAAAACTAACCTTTGATTGAAGGAAGAGGTTGAGTATGGCAGAGTCGACCATAGGCGGTGGCTCACCGGAGGCTAATGCTGCTGATAAACCGGAGAAAACTCCAACTCCGGCGACTTCCAAGCCCACAAGATCTCCCAACTGAATCATCTCCACCGCCGGTAAAGCAACATACATGATTCCGGCGACGTGGTGGATCTGAATACTCCTTGAGAAATTCGCTGCGTTGCATAATCTCCATGAATCGGACCATAAAGGAGTCGACATCATGAACGATGCCTGTAACTCACTCGTCTCGAATCGACTTTCTTCCATGACTCGATTCTTCGACTACTACGAGAGTAGAGTCGTTGTGGAAAGATTATGTTTTCGAGGTTTCTTTAAATTAGATTTTTAAAGCAAGAATTTCAAGAAAACTTGTCATAAGCAAAGTCTCCAGATAATTTCTTGCTTCTTTCGTATGTACTTTCTTGGTTCTTGTCTTTTGCGAAGTCGTCATCTCAAAGTTCT